AAGTTGACTAGTGTTGTATCTTGATTCAGCACTATGACATCCTCAGGGCCACTTCTCACATACAAATATAATCAAACGACAGAGACACTTGGCTGCTTCTGTATTTCCTGGGGTGTGATCAGATGGGGAGTACTTCTTCCCGGAACACTGAGATTCTTCGAGCCTGCTTCCCATCTCCTTGGCAGGTGTCCTTGAGAGCTTTTCCATAAATAAGGCTTCAATCTCCAAGATCTTAGGACCAGCCTCCACCTGGCACTTTTAAATTATATTTTAGTACTATCTTTCACCACAGTTCCTTCTTTGATGTCTAGGAACCCACATTGCTAGAAATACTCTATGGGTCTTGGAGTTCTCTTGATTGTGTAGTGTCAGACCATAGAAGCTGAGGTTACAGAATGTGGATGTTTCCACAAATAAGAGCCCTACGTCATCACATTTTCCTTTCAATAGCATGTCCTTTGTGTTTTGTTCATCAGCTCATCACACATACACACCACCTCTTCCCAGCAGTGAGAATACAGTGTTCTTCTAACCACGAACAATGAAAGCAACTGCTTCCAACACAGAGCAGGCTACCATTTTGTCATCTTCCAAAGAGCCGGAGACTAAATCTGGAGAAGAGCTCGTGGGACATGATCTGGAAACAGGGCAATTGAGCGGGTTAGGGTTGTGGGCTCATAGCCGTGGCTCCTTTCCCCTTCCCCCAGGTGGCTAATTAACAGTGAGGGAGAGCACTCTGAATCCTCTAAACACAGGGTACTTGGCGAAAACGTGCTTTGCATTGTACATTTCAGCACACCACACCACACAAGAATTTTAAAATAAACTGTGTGCTAACAAATGGTGGACCCATTTAAAAGGGAAGATTCTCAGAGCAGAGAGAACTTAAATTTTTTAAATAGCTTTCCTCCAGATAATTTTCCCCTGGGCAGAAAGCTGCTTTGATTGGCACAGGACTGGGCCTTGATGAGAGCAGGGAAAGAGGTGTCAAGGCCTTGTTCACTGGAGATATTTAAAGATATGTCAGGTGTTCACTGCTCGAGCTGTAGGTTTCTTGCAGCCATATGCTCATCTCCTGTGTCCTTTAGCAGCAAAGCTCAAGAACTCTACCTGATTTGAGACAAAAGACCCAGTCCCAAGACAGCTTGGCAACAGAAGAATGAAGCCCAAGAGCAAGGATGACTGGAACTCAGCTAACACCAGATAGTAAGATCCATGAGGACAGAGCCACTATCTGTCCCGCCCCTTACTGGTGCCCAGCCCCAGCAAAGAGAAAGTGCAGGCAGGGATCTGGTAAATGGATGGATGAGTGAGTTTCCTCATGACTGTTATTTTTTTTCAGTGCCTCTGTATTTTCTGGAAAACTCTTAAAAGTCTAAAAGGGGCATATTTGGACGTGTGTGTGTGTGTCTATTTGTCAGATCCAGAACTAGTCAGAAGAACTAGTGGTGGGAGGGAGATGACCTATCCCTGATAAACGGCACACAAGGAGACTTCATTGAGTACAACGGTCTAGCTAAGCGGAGGTACCTGCGCTCACACTTCACACAAGATACTCTGTATCTTTTCTCAGTGAACTTGACCCTATAAGATATGTATTAATCCTTCATTTCAAAAGGGCCCCCTATTACATGCACAAATGCCTGTGGAAGTGTACTGTCCCACACAATGAAAAGTCATTATTGAGCTAAGGATGGCAATACCAGGATTGGTTAATTTTTACTTATTATATTATTAAGAAATTACACTCCACTGGAGTGGAAGTGAATATACTGCTTAACATGTCTGGATTCAAAGAACCTCAGTAATAATGCCTAGATGTTTTGAGAAGAAGGAAGCCTATCATTTTAATAAACTAACTTTCTTCACAGACATTATGACTCAGATGACAGCAATAATGGATGAGGACTGGATTTCTACCCCTGTTGAGTATGAAGCCATCACAGGGACAGGCTTTCAGACTTCACAGAAGAGAGGGAAATCTGTCCCTAACACTGGTGACACATAAAGGTTGCCTTTATCTTCCTGTCAAATTTGCCTCCAAGTCTGGGTGGCTGGAGTTCACAGATAGAAAGGGACTTCTCTTCTCAAGCCAGAGTTGAGGACTCCACATGACTAATTCAGTCATCTAGATTTTTCAAAATTTGGTCCAAATTTAGTATATCTTTGCTGATTTCATTCATTATGCAAAGGAGTGAAAAGGCTAAGATCCTACCAATAGCACAGCCTAGTAAACAACAGAGAATCCTTTATATAAAGAGTTTCTATCTTGTCTTCTCTCCTCATAAGTGCATACCTGATTAAAGGCTAAATATCTTTCAGGGCAGCCAGCACTACAAATGCTTCCTTTATGTTGAACAGAAAGTTGAAATGTGCCTCTTTGCAAGTGCCACCCAGTGGCTCCAATCTGGCTTTGCATTGCAAAACAAACGAAAATATATTCCCTCTTCTCCGTGACAGTTTTCCTAAGCTGTGAACTCCCGTCTCACGTCTCCCTGTGGCCATCTCCTGTACAAGTCCCTCAACCATCCCCTGGATTACTGGAGTTCTAGTACTTTCCAACCTCATCCGGGACACCTCTGTGTGTGCATCTGTCCCTTTTCCATGTTCCTAACTTTTAAAAAAAAGTTAGCATTGGCTACAGCGATTGAGATTTTAAACCATCCTCCTGTTGTATGAGTTAACACGGTGTACAGGAAAAATACCTTAATTCTTATTACCTGATAGAAGTAATTTTTAGTTTAAATTTAGAATTAAAGCTCTCTTTCTCTGTCTCCATCTAACTGCTGAAACCCAGCTGGCCCCAGCTGGCCTCTGGTGAGGACATCCTAAATTTCAGCCTGTGATTTCACTTCAACGGTGGGTCTTTCAGACCACATCACCAGCACTTACAGCAGCTATATTTGGTAGATATTACATCAGAGACACTAAAGCAAGATATGGACAGTGATCTTTAGATGCTTCCTTATTTGTATATGTAAATACTCCCCTGTGCTGTGCTAAGTCATTTCAGTTGTGTCTCTTCGAGACCCTATGAACTACAGCCTGCGAGGCTCCTCTGTCCATGTTCCAGGCAAGAATACTGGAGTGGGCTGCCATGCCCTCCTCCAGGAGATCTTCCAGACCCAGGGATCAAACCCGCATCTCTTATGTCTCCCTGCACTGGCAGGCAGGTCCTTTACCACTAGCACCACCTGGGAAGCCCTAATTATTCCCCTACTCCTTTCAAATCGGTATGTTTATTAGATTCCAGAAGTAACTTAGAATTCTAAACTTGGAAATGTCTTTTTAAAAAGACCAATTAGGGCTTCCTGTGGTCAATGGTAAAGAATACACCTGCCAATGCAGAAGACACAGGTTCAATCCCTGGTTGGGGAAGATCTCAGGGCAACTAAGTCTGTGTGCCACAACTATTGAGCCTGTGCTCTAGAGCCCAGGAATCGCACCACTAAGCCCTCATGCCACAATCACTGAAGCCCATGCACCACAACAAGAGAAGCCACCACAATGAGAAGCCCACACACTGCAACTAGAGAAGCCCCATAGAAGCCCAGAGCAACGAAGATCCAGTGCGGCCAAAAAACAAATAATTTTTTAAAAAAGACCGGTCATTAAACCCTTACAAATGAAAACTGAATCGGAAGCCAATGCACATGAGGCTTTGTTCACCCGTTCTCTAATATTAGACAGGGAAACAATGCAGACAGTACCCTGTGGTGAGTCAGGAGAAATGGAGTATGCCACAGCCAAGAGCCCCTTGGGGAAATGAGGGGCAGTCAGCCCCAGACACCATGAGTGTGAAGTCAGAAGCAGAAAAGCCACAGTCTGACTGCCATGGTTCCTGAGACACTAACTGTGACAAAGTGATGCTTTTCCTTCGGAAACACCCCTGACATCTACAGTGCTGATAAGGGGCAAGACCTGCCCATCACTGCTGCTGGCCGTGCTCCTGCCCAGCTGGGCCGAGGGACCATGAAACTGCATCAAAATTTCTTCATTGGAGCCCCTGCTCCCCCTTCTCCTATTCTACTCCACCCAGGGCAATCACACCGTGTTAAGTGGGTTTCTCATTTGGGTGAGGATTTTATCTAATGTGTGTTTATTCTACACAAAATTTAAAAAGGTGTCCCTCCCCACCCTCACAATTCCCTGACTTTAGCCCCACTCATAGCTCCAACATTTTAGAGATTAATTTTTAAAAATATATATGCTTAATCTTCTATTTGTCTATCACATGTGTAAATTATTAGAAATAGATACTTTTCATTTTAATAATCCATTAACAAATAATTTTTCAGAGTCGTGCTTAATATAAGCACATATAATGCTTTTTTCAGTTTTTCTGCTGCCGACCAAATGTTTAATTAAAACGAAACCTTTTCTTTGCAAGTTAGAGAATGAGTCCCTAGGGAACCCTTATAACCTTGTTGGTACTAACTGCTCTTGTTTCTGATTTTTTTTAATTGAGTAAGAAAAAGATAATATGTTGTACACAGCATGGATTTTCTCCTATGGAGCACCACCGCAAGAGAGAGACAGGTTACTACAACATAACTTAAAAGAAATTTTTTTTTCCTCCTAGAGAAATATAAATGTTCAACTCACCTGTTTTTTTCATTTAGAAAAAACAGGATAGTAAACTATGTCCAACAATTAGTAAGCATGTACCTTGGTTTCATACTACAATTAAAGAGAAAAAGGACACTTTTGTCCCTGAGCTGAAGGCACCCACCTGCACAGGGGGGTGAACTTATGAAATGTGCCTCCCAGCTTTCTTAACTGTAACCTTTTGATCTGGAGAGAGCCCTCTTTTAGACGGATCATCACTAGTCCAAAGGGGACATATGAGGAGCTTCTCCTTTGGGCCAAGACAGGAGTGGCCTGAGCTAGTTCACTGCAAACCACAGAAGACGGAGCTGAGAGTCCTATCTGTCTCTGGGGCTGAAGAGTCCCCACCACAGGAAGCAATCTCACGCCCATGACCCTTCACAAGGACTTACCTCCTCAACCATCTGCTTGACTTTCTTCTGCTGGCAATGCACCATGTCATCTAGATGTCGGATCCGCTCCCGGAGGCTGGCTGACGCCTCCTCCAGCTGCTGATACCTAACACAGATAGAAGACAGAGCCAGTGAACCCTCGACCAATGCAGCAACACCAGCACACGAAGTCACCGCTCGAAAGAAACACCACCCAGAACAAGATGCACTCTTCCTACTTTGTATATATCCTAGTTTATTAACCACCGACCAACCACCCCACTGGAGAAGGAACACAGGACTCTTTTTCAAGTTCCCACTCACAAATGTCACCCTGTGTAAAGACACTTACTTTACCTCCCAAGAGCTGTACCACTTACAGATATGAGACACTGTTTCTTTGGGGGGTTAATACAACATTGGAACATCCAATAATTGCCACAATTAGGAAAACAGAGAAGAGTCTAGCAACACAACAACATATATGAAATCAAGTGGCAGAGTCCTGGGAAGGCAGGAATTACAGTTGTTTCACACATCATTTATTTTGAGAAAATGGGAAATATGCTGAAACACCCTTCCTCCATCAAAACAGAACAAACCACCTCAGAAAATATTTCATGTTTAAAAAAAAAAAAAGCACAGATTATCCTCAGACTCTATCTGGTTCAAATAAACCCAAGGAACGAGCAGATGGACTCTTTTTTGGGGGCCACTAAACTAGAACATGGACAAAGGGTCTGGTGGGCTGCTTACCACTTCCCATCTCTGCTGGGTCCCTCCTTAGCACAACCTTAAAGACTAGGGAAGATCCCTAGAACTCTGCAAACTCTGATGTCACATAAGAGGAAGGAGAACAGGTATTTTTCAGCATACATTGTGGCAGGCTGTGCAGCCAACAGTTCTCTCACAATAATAACCCAATGAGATGGGCACTATTAGTATCACTTTAATTCCTCCCACTTTAAAAAAGAATTCTGATTTTACAGAGAAGCAAAGGATCTCAGGCAGATTAAGTAACTTGCACAAATGCTCAGCACCTGCCAACCTCGTTTCCCTTCACTAGAGGGCCACGTGTGGACTCTCTGCCTTCTGTTTCCATAATAGGCAGCTCATTGCTCCTGCATTTCCCATGCAGGGCTTTATACACTCACTGCCAAGGGACAAGGCAAGGTTTTACTGAAGAATGTTTGGAAACAAAGACATTGTAAAATTCGTTTCCACGGCAATGGTATTAGTCACTGCTGAATTTTCTCATCAACAAGGTGCATCCTATGGAGCTCAAGGTTATGGGGAACATTTATAGACAGAACTTTGGCACTAGTGATAGGCATTGACGTGTTCCACTGTTCTAACCACCACCCCTGGGCTGCAAGATGTGGCTGGAAGCTCTCAGTCCAGTGTTTTACATGTTTTCAGTCTGCAATGAGTGATGACCAAACGAATGGAAATGCAAGGACCAAGTGAGCCCACACAAACACAGTGTGCCCACCATCTAAATCCGTTACAAGACAAAAGACAGTATACCTTACCTTTCTTTGTTAGAATCGGTTATTTCCACTGACATTTCTGTTTCATGCTCCAGGAGTTGAAGTTGAAGTTGATGGCGCTCCTAAAACAGACAGACATTAATATTTAACTGATGGATCCCAAGTTGGCTAGAGAATGTACAGCAAGCAACTCCAATACCAGTCAGTTCAAATCTATATGACACCTATGGGCTTTTATACACTCACTCACCAGAGTCCAAACAAATCTCAAAATTTCAAATTTGCTAGTGTGTATTTATAGATGTATTTATGAGTTAGAGACAAATATCATGGGTAAGCCATTCAAGATTTATTTTTTTAAAAGTATTTCATCAGCCCAGGCTCAGATGTCTTAAATAATGATAATCAACACTCTAAATCAGTGGCCTGTGATACTACAAATTTCTTGATTATTTTCTGAATCCTCAGGAGGGTCTGGAATTCTGTAATATTCTATAAACTAACTGGGGTAGTGTTTACACAGCTGCGTTTACTTGTAAAAACATACCATGAAAACCAGAATAAATCTGCCGCAATGATGTCCACATTCTAATCCCTGAAACTTGTGAACATGTTGCCTTATGTGGAAAAAGGAACTTCGCAGACATGATTAAGTTAATAATCTTGCAATGGGGAGATTATCCTGAATTATCTGGTTGGACCCTTATAGGAAGAAAGGTTAGAGTCAAGAGATGGACACAGGCTGGGAGGCGCTAGCATGCTGACTTAGCAGCTGGAGGATGGGGCCGCGCGCCAAGGAATATAGTCAGTCTCTTGAAGGGAGCAAAGGCGAGGAAATGGATGCCTCCTCTGGAGCTCCCAACAGCCCTGCCCACACCTTGATTTTAGGACTTCTGACCTCCCAAACTAAAGATGGTCACTCTATGATGTTTTAAAGCCACTAACTGCGGTAAATGATCGCAGTATCAATAGGGAACCAATAAGTTGTGCACGTAAGATTTGCACAGGGATTTCCCTGGTGGTCCGGTGTGGCTAACACTCTACACTCCCAATCCAGGGGGTCCGGGTTTGATTCCTGGTCAGGGGACTACATCCCACATGCCACAACTGAGATGCAATGCACTCAAATAAATAAATATTTCTTAAGAAGATTTGCACACATTTCTATATAAATTTAATTTACCTTAAAAAAGTAAAAAGAATCTGGACGTTTATTTCTTTGAACAAAGTTAAAAATATTAATAAAGGTATAGCGCCCATTACCACCAAAATTGCACCAGAAATACAACTGTTAGTATGACAAATTTCCTTAAAATGAAATTTTATCAAATTTTATCAAATCTTGCTCACTAATTAAAAGGAGACTCTTCTGCTTGGGGGCTTTCTCTAAGTATGGCTCTGTCTCATCTTTACCCTCAGAAATTCTGCCCAACAAGCTCTGACTAGTTATACAGATCCCAAACTTTTTTTCCACCAAATATTAAAAGCAAATCCTTGAAAACTGAACTCCCACAACTTCTGAAGCTGTCAGCAGTGGCAGACTAGGGACAGTCAAGAGTGGGAAGCAGTACACTCTGGAAGGGCGGGTATGTTATCATCGACATACTCAGAATAAAGAAGGAAGACCAACTTTTTCATGGGGTTTTGTTACTTCTTTTAAATCTCTACAGTGAATGCACAGACTAATTTTCCCCATGGTTTCTGACACTGGCTGGAAGTTTACATGAGCCCTGAAATAATAGTGATGAATCCTTAACAAGTGAGCCTTCCCTCCAACTCCCCAAAAAGCTGTCATAAAGTAGCGCAAGGCCTAGCTTACAGTATACTTTAAATTTTGATATTTTCCTAAGTTGAGGTACAACAAATCTTAAGTGGACACTGCACAATCACGTGACATATCTGTATACACATTACCTGGTGGAACCACCATCGAGATCAAGGCAAAGAGTACTATCTATTCTGCAGAAGGGTCTCTGATAGAACACACTCCTTAAAAGACTTTTAACTCATCAAGAAAAAAAGAAAGCTGTTTGGACACAATGTTCAGAATCAGTAAACTAAGGGGTATAGCAGAGAAGCCATTCAAAAGCACACGGCTTGTCCTCGAGAAAAATCCAAAAATATCCGAGAACAGGATGCAAACTCAGTACGCATGTTGTTCACAGTGTGTGACAAAGGTTTGGCATGGCTCCCGCTCTCACAGATTTAGCCATGAAGGGCGAAAAACAGTAAATGGGCATATCTAATCTTAGCTACCTAAAGCAAGCATTTTGCTAGCCTAAATGAGAAAAGTTATAAGAAAGGACAACAGATTCTCAATCACTAAAGAAAAAGCCAAGAGGACGTGGGGAACATTTTATGTCACACCACCGCGGGGAGGGAGGGCCAGCCTTACTACCACCCTAGGCCCCAGCCACACACCCCCACACAGGCTGCACATGGACAACAGTGGGAAAATGCTGGGAACTTTCCAGAAGCCCAAGGAGACAAAGAAACTAAGCTATAAAACAGGTCCAGCAGGGGAAAAAAAAAAAAGCTGACACCAGGGGCAGACATTTATGCAAGTCACACCCTAAAAATCAGAGCCACACATTTTTTGAGCCCTTACTCTCTCTCTCTATATTCCAGGCACTGCCCTTAACATTTGGCCTGGATTTTTCTTGTTGACTCCTCACAAAAGGCCTAAGAATAAGAATTACTATTATCAACATTTTACAGAAGAGGAAACTGAATTTGGAAGAGTCAAGTAACTCCCTGCAGCTAGAAAGAGAGGCAAGACTCAAACCCTAGGTTCATGTGATTCTAAAACATGGATAGTCTCTCTGTGATATGGTTTCCTTGCCCACACCCCTCCCCAGACCACCCGCTCACCTGGCTCCTGTTTGCTGCAGGACAGCCTGTCACTCAAGCTGAGTATGCTTTAACCAGCGCCTTCTGCTGTTGCAGGCGAGCAGCGATGTAGGGGAAAGCTCGCTTGCATTCTAGAAAATGTCTTCTCTGCCCAGTCATTACAACCACCATCTACAAGCAGTACTGACGTCAGCCCTAACCATGCCACTGACCCCCTCTTCAAGACAAGATGGGATTCTGCTTTCCCAGAGAGTAGAGGTGAAATTTTAACTGACTCTATTTATTCAAGTCCCTCCCCTCAAAAGATATTACTTAAAAGAAGAGCTCCCTAGCCAGCCAAGGAGCTCTGTTTAAGGCTATTCCCACCTTCCTGGTCAGAGGAATATAGAGGGGACCAGACCACAGACATCATACGTCAGCTCTCTTCTCGGAACCAACCAGAAGCCCAGCTGTTGACTCTGCTTCCCCTGTCATTCCCCCTCCCTCCATCATTGGCCTGGGGATTCTCAGTGTCCAGTGTGGGTCACAGGATGCCAAGGGGTGGTCTTGGCTGGTCCCCTCTCTTTCATAAACTTTCATAAACTCACACAACTCCCACTTCCTAGAACCCAGCCACAGCTCTAGTCCTCAACCACCACTCTCCCCTAGAAGTCAGCTGTCACGCAATAAAGGTCACCCTCCCATCATCTTTCTTCCTTTTTCTCTTTCCTCTCTCCCACTTCTCCTCTTTTCTCCACTTCCCACCTCATTTCTTCCCTCTCTCTAGAGTGGCTCATTATCCCAGCTGAGCTCCTGTCTTCTGCAGGCCTCTCCCCACTCCACTCCCACCCAGGAGAGCAATGTCCCCTATTCTGACGCATAACCCACCCTTCAGACCCCAGTCCCAGAAACAACTGGCTTGGGGTGTCGATGCCACATGGAAATAGGGCTTGATGGCCTGCCAAGTAAACTAAGTTCATGCCGAGGGTCCCAGCAAACCAGGGCTGCTAAAAGATTAACTTCTGTAAATAACTTTGTATGTAATGATGTTAGAAGCATCAAAATTTTCAACACAGGAACACTTAGGACTTGGTGGAACTTCCATATACTTTACTTTTTGCTGTTTCTTTTTTTTTCTAGATGTATTTTTAATTGAAGGATAATGGCTTTACATCCATATACTTTATTTTATAGTTCTGTCTTTGTTATTTCAAGTCACAAGTTGTAGGATTGAGAGGGATCTGTGGTGAGGGCTTCTCACACCTTTGGGCAGGTCTGAGGGGAGCTGTTACACTACAGGAAGGCTGGGCAAGGGGCCCGCGGGCTCCAAGTTATGTTACCTTCTCCATGCGCTCAATCAGCCTGTCCAGCTCCCCGATCCTCTGGTCCTTCTCCTCTAGACTGATCTCTGCCGCCTGCATCTTTTTATTGGCTTCCTCAATGGCTTTCAGAAAACTATTGGTTTCTTCCTGCAAAAGAAATGCACTCTTCTCAGCAGAGCACGCAGTCACTACCAATCAGGGTTCAAACAGCTCAGGCCTTGCTAAATCATCTTGTCTCTTTAGAAGCATGACCCAGCATGACCCGGGAGCCTAGAAGAGTCTCAGAGAATCATGAACTCAAATTCCATTATTCTGGTTCTAACCAATGAAGAAAAGACACATTGCAAGGGCCTAGTTACCTTTCTGCCTTTTTCCTCCCCTTGAGGAAAAAAAAGAGCCTACAAATGTTATTTATCTCCTGAAAAGATGCTCAAAGTATCACTGTATTTGCCAACAACATAAAGGGAATTAGGGCTAGAAGTGGAATTGAATGCAGAGTGCCCAGATGTTTCTCCCAAACACTAACTCAGTCAATTATTCAGCACATGTACCAAGCCTGCGAGGACACAAGATGAGGCTGATCGGCGTCCCTGTCCTCAAGGAATCGATGCTCCGCTAGAGAAGCCAAGATGGGAGATGCACAGCCCAGCTCTAATAACAGGGACAAGAGAATTCCAGAGCAGAGAAGAGAAAGAATGGGCTTCCCCAGGACAGAGGACACTTGCAGCTGTGTGAGGGGGAAAGACTTCATTTGTGGAGATGCTGGCATCTTCAAGACTCTCAGGGAGCATAAGCAGGATTGGGACAGGGAAGGAGGAGAAGATGCAGTGAGGAAATGCACAGCTGCAGGATCAGCCTGGATGCTGGCAAATGGTCAGACTGGCTGGAGAAAGGGGTGTACCGAGAGACAGAGATTGAGGCCTCTTTTAAGCAGGGAGGAAGGTGAGTAAAGGAAGGGAGTGGGCACCCACTAAACCCACGTTAGAGTCCACTAACTCACCTCCGAGCACACACCTTCCCATGTAAAGCCCACCGACAATAATGCGCCCAACGCCCCCTGGCTGTTCGGTGAGCAAGGGACATACACACCAGGAGAGCCTCCTTCTCCGCGTTGTGACGCTGCTGCTCCTCCTGCAGCTTCTCTTCGTACTGGCTGTACAGCTTCCGGGTCATCTCTCTCATCACCTCCGCGTTGGCTTGTTGGGAGGATTCCACCTGCAAAGAGACTCACTTCAGAGCCACGGCTGCAGCAGGTTCTGGCGAGTCCGCCCCTTACACTCTGTGCATGTTAAGCATGAACGCACAGCGGAGTGGGCCCAGGGGCCAGGGCTTTGCAGGGGACACAGGCAGCAGGAACTGATGGGGGAAGAGATAGAAGAAGGAGAAGGGGCGAGCTGGTGCATGGAACATTAAAAGTAGCCCTGTAAACATATTTCCTTGATACTAATATTATCAGGAAACGGTGCTCCACGAGTGACTTTTTCACAAGGTAGAAACATACTTCTCTATCAACACGGCACCTCAAATCTGTTTTAAAATTTGAATTCTAAAATGTGCTCCACTGTCATTTTTTTCTTTATTTTTATTTGGCTGCGTTGGGTCTTAGGGCACACAGGATCTTTGCTGCTTCATGTGAGATCTTTTACTGTGGCACACGGACTCGAGTTGTGGCACACGGACTCGAGTTGTGGCGCACAGGCTCAGTAATTGCAGCAGTCAGGCTTAGTTGCTATACACCATGTGAGATCTTAGCTCCCTGACCAGGGATCAAACCCATGTCCCCTACATTGCAAGGTGGATTCTTAACCACCAGGGGAGTCCCTGCACTGTCTTATTGACCCCTTTCTTCGTGCCTTTTCCTGTGTAATGTTCTTTTGCTCCTGAAATTTTATCATATTTTATTCTATCAGTTTTAACAACCCTTTTTCTCCAGGTAATACTGTTGTTGTTCAGTCGCTAAATGGTGTCTGACTCTTGCAACTCCATGGGCTGCAGCACGCCAGGCTTCCCTGTCCTTCACTATACTAGGTAACATACCCACATTCTAACTGGCCTCAGAAAGACATGCTTTTTGAAAGTCTTGAGTACTCAGGAATCTAAGCGATTTGAGCAATAAATCATGAGGGTATTCTCCCCACAAGGCATTCCCCTCGAGAACAGCCTAAGGCTGTGCTGAACATAATCTGAAAAGCACAGATTCAAATGAAAACAAATTCACTCTGTTGTGGGATGAAAATAAGGCCACTACATTATCAGAATTGGGTCAGAGCAGGATAAACTATAAAATTAAAAAATAAAAAGGTTTTCCATATGAAGAAAGAGGCAATAAGAGAGGAAAGGGCAGACACAGATGTTCTATTTCTTACACTTGTTTCATAGAGCTGATTTTGAAACCAATAATTTACCTGATATAGAAATTAAATTTTAAATATTATCTTGTTTAATTGTTTAAGCAATTAAATTGTTAAACAATTAACAATTTTAAACAATTACCAAGATCATTCACTGTGAAAAGTAGAGTCTTTTCAACAAATAGTGCTGAGACAATCAGATTTGTCATATACAAAAGAATGAAGTTGGGTCACTAAAATACTATATATAAAAATGAACTTAAAAGGTATGAAAAACTTAAAATGTTAAAGCCAAAACTATGAAAGTCTTAGAAAGAAAATTTGTGACCTTTGATTAAGCAATGGCTTCTCAGATATGACTCCAAAAGTACAACTGACAAAAAAAGAGATAGATAAATTTGACTTCATTGATATTCAATATTAAAAACTGCTGTGCTTCAAAGGTTAGCATCAAGAAATTGAAAAGACAACACAGAGAGAGGGGGGAAATTCTTTCAAATTATACATCTAATAATTTGTATCCAGAATACATAAAGAATTTTTATAACTCAACAATAAAATATAAATAACCTAATTTTAAAACGGGCAAAGGATCTGACAGATACTCCAGGAAAAATACACAAATGACCAACAAATGCATGAAACAATGCTCAACATCACTGGTTATCAACGATGCAAAACTACAATTAACTACCACTTCACACCCACGAGGATGGCTATAATCAGTAAGAGAGTAACCAGTAATGGCAAGGATGGGGAGAAACTGGAATTCTCCTACATGGTGGTAGGAATGTAAAATGGTGTATGCCTATCTCTACGTTACCTTTCATATTTGTTTGACATTTCCCCCCGCACGAGCATACACTAAAAAAAAAAATTAAGTCAGATGAGCAGGAAAGTCTTTGAAGAGAAGGTGCCACATGGAATTGAAACCATCTTATTAGCTGCACTCACAATCAGTCCCTAGGGAAGACTTCAGCTCATGTGAGAAATCTGGACTCATCCTTCCCATACTTCTGTGCTTTCCCAATTGTTGCATTTGGAAATACTCCCATGTGGTTTGCAGAACCTAATCTGGGGGCTTGCACAGACCCAGCTTAGGAGATGAGAAAAAGTAAAGTGGGCAGGCAGGCTTACATTGGGGGTGGCTGCTGCTTCCTTTCTGCCCAGGCCCTGCCCTTGCCTGTAAAGCTCAGGCCATTAATTTTATGCCTCTGAAAGTGTGTTTGTGTCTTTCCCTCCAGCTTATTGCTAATTCAAGAGAGCTGAGTTAGCTGGGTAGATAATCTCTATATAAGCAAGGTATACTACAACCTTAAGAGGTTACATGATGTTTATTCCAAAGACTGGACCAAAGTCCCCCCCGATGTCCTCTACATCTCCTTTCTCATCACAGGCACGTTTTGGTCCCAAGAAGCCACAACACGGGAAATCCTGAACGGAGATCATCATGAACCGAGAGACCCAGTGTGTCCTGTGTTGCATCTCCACTTCGAGGACAAGCTCTGTCCCTCATGTCCTGTTGACGCTGCATCCAGGTTACGTGAAATACTGTCACTTCTTAAATTGTTACTTTGGGGTAAAGCATTAGCCTCCAAAACACAACTGCAGGCTGGGTTAGAGGCTTGGTCTCCCTGATGCCACAGCACTGGAACAGACGGGTGCGGAGCATGGATGCAGAGAGTAGACACTAAGTGCGTATTTGTGGGATGAATGACTGCATAAAGACCCTGCCCTGAGGGAGAAACTCCTAAGTCACTTCAGAATATTTCAGCAACAAACCCCGTTTTTTCAAAGTAACTCTTATGCAGAAATATAATACATGAAAGCATAGATAGAAGAACAGCCCTGTTTGAAGTGAAAGCAGAGAGGAGCTGACTGACTGTGTAGTTCCCTGGCTCCTTCCCCTCCCCAGGTGGCTGTGTTTGGCCAAGTGGGTGGTGATGGCAGGGCCCATGGGCAGCCATCATGGAGACCACGCAGTGTGGGATAGCAGCCTGTCCTCCCCATCAGCTGCCCCATGGGTAGCCCTTAGGGAGAGGACCATGTGGCCCAGGCTATTCCCCTAATTCTTAACAGCACTTCCTTTCACTCCCCAACATACTCTGATTCATGCAATAAATCATGTGGGTATACAACCCACAAGGCACTCTCCTCTAGAACAGCCTAGGCTGTGTTGAACATAATCGGAGAAGCACAGGTTCAAATGAAAACAAATTCATTCAGGAAATAATTTTTTGAGTGACTTCTGGGAGCTGTTTGTGGGTCGGCTCCTGGCACTGGGGAGAAACTCTAACCAGAGCCAGGAGCAGACCCACAGATGAGTGAGTGCTCCATGCTTCACATATGGAAGGAGTACTGAGACCTCCAGGGCCTTAGAGGTTGAGCTGCAGAATAAGCCAGGCCTGGCGGCAGGAAGGACACCGCCCAGAGTCCTTGGTCACCCATCCATTTTCTTCCAGGGGGGCCCCTCAGCTCTTCATTGTCAAACCAGACAAAAAGGCCTTGGGATCTAAAAGAGAAGCTAAACAGTGAAGCTTCTTTTTTAAATAATTAATTTTGGGATTGTGCTAGGTCTTCGTTGCTTCGTGCGGGTTTTCTCTAATTACAGTGAGCGGGAGCTCTCTTTGTTCTGGTGCTCAGGCTTCTCGCTGCAGTGGGTCCTCTTGTCGTGGAGCACGGGCTCTAGAGCGAGACTCAGTAGTTGCTGTGCACAGGCTTAGTTGCCGCGTGGCATGAGGGATCTTGCCAGACCAGGGATCAAACCTGTGTCCCATGCATCTGGCAGGCAGATTTTTAACCACTGGACCACCGGGGAAGTCCCAAACACTGAAGCTTCTCAAGCCCCAAACCTGCAGGCATCCCAAGGGCCCTCTCAGTATATAAGGGCAGTGCCATGATGAGGTCTCGGCAGCTGAGGCCACTGGGATCAAGGCAGGAGAGCCCAATGGGGTGTGTATGGGGTGCCCCCCCAATCTGCACCGACAGCTCTGAACACAGAAACCTTCTCAGTGCCTTCAGGTCAAATCCTGCAGGGTTGGCTATAGAAGGGTGACAAAACCCAACAGAGAAGAGAATGGAGAAAACGGCATGGGAGAGTTGATGATGGAAGGAGAGAGGAGGAGGAGGAAGAGGTGAGCAGGAAATCCATGCTCCTGTATTTACCTTCATTTTCAGCAGCTTGTTTTCAACCTGCGCCGCATCTAACTGCCTCTGCTTCTCCTGCAGCTTGTCCATGGAGGCTGTGTACGTCTGCTGCAGATTTCTGATCTGATCCTTGATGTTGCTGTTCTCCAAAGTAACATCCACGAGGGTTTTCTGATGGGATGAAAATAAAAACCAGATCTAGCAATGTGAGAAAACAGGCCAGACCACACGGGACATCCCTTTGTCATTAACCCTTGAGGGAGACATCAGCAACAGGCGCTACAAGCCTGGGCCCCTGGCATTAGAGTGCCTGAGGGCCCCCTGGTGGTCAGGAGGTCTGTTGCCCTGTAATGGGTGGGCCAGTCAGCTTCCCCATAATTCCCCATTGCTGCTGCCAACACCACATGTCACGGCCTAGGGTGGATGGAAACGGATCAAACCCTTTTCCAAGGAAAAATGTTAATGATACATAATTTCACATGGGTTTGAAAACAGTAAATACAGAAGAACCCCACTTTGAAAAAAAAAATGCATAAGCATCTGTCCAAATGCCCAGGGGGGAAGAAAAAAGACTAGGAGGTTGTAATTCTTGCTGTTGTTTAATCACTAAGTTGTGTCCAACTCTTGAAACCCCATGGAGTGTAGCCCACCAGGCTCCTCTGTCCATGGTATTCTTCAGGCAAGAATACTGCAGTGGGCGGCCATTTCCTTCTCCAGGGGATCTTCTCAATCCAGAGATTGAACCCATATCTTCTGCATTGGCAGACAGATTCTCTACTGCTGAGCCACCAGGGAGATAGGGCTAAGACTAGGAGAGTTACCCAAATTCAAATAACAGCTTTCACTAGGGACAGGAGTATGGATGGTATTAACTTTCTTCTCGGTTAAAATCTTCTACATTTTCCAAATTCCTAAATCAGAAAACAAAATAGGTATTTTATAAAAAGGAGGTATTCCCCCTTTTTTCTTAAACAGGCTGTTTACTTCAATACTTTTAGATGAGCTGCCGGAATAGCAACAACATGGCTGAGGCTACTATGATGCTGCATATGCTTCACATTCCTCCCTCAGGCAGAGAAGGGTGGTGATGAAGGGAGGATCAGGGAACAGAGTCTGTGACAAGTGCCTGACAAGTGCCTGATGCTTATTAATCCAGACCGCCCACTGAAGCAGGAATGCTTAAATTAATATTGTTGCTATTTCATGCTTAACTCTCATTACAGAGGAATGACTTCCACAACTTCAGAATTCCTAGCAATAGACACAAGGCAACTTCTACCACCTCCTACCGCCTCCTGAAGTTACCTACAGCTCTCTATTAGAAGAGTTGGAAATTCTTCTAATATAAGATGTTGGTGTTGGACTCACTTCCTAACACCTGTGTCCTCTTTGTAGCTGGCCAGTGTCTGAAGCTCCTCCACTCCTGAACCTCCACTTTGGATAATAAGCCTCATTCCTAAACGTATTCAAGTCAGTAAAAAGGATTTTTAATGGTGGTATATAGGTATTAAAGAAAATACAGAAGCCATTTGGAGGCTGGAATCACAGAATATTGGAGGTGCAAGGAGCTTGAAAAGCCACCTGGCCAAGCATCCTCTCTCTAAGTCCCACTGGCTTTACAGAGACCAGTTCTGTGCTCAGAACCTGTATCAGGTGCCAAGAGACCAGGACTGGAGCTACACACTTCGTTCAAGTCATTTCTGTTGGCCTCAGTTTGTTTATCCATCAAACAAGGGGGTTGGAGATCATCTCAATTGTTCTTTCCAGCTTTGACATTCTATAAAGTCAAAATGAAGACCTGGTCTTGTTGTCATTAATAATGAAAATGGGGTAGACTAGACAATGGAAGAAGTAAGAAGTTAACATCTTCAGACTCATTTGAGTTTCCTGGCCATGAGACAGTATCTTTCTGTCCTCCACTTCTCCCCTTCCCCTGCCTCCACCCACTTCTTTTTATTTTTCTCAAACAACAGTTTTTAATCTTTTCATTATAAGGCTCCTCTGACTTCCCTGGAATAAGAGACTAGACCGTGATGAGGAATCAGTCAGGGTGCCTGGGTTAGGGTAGACCCTGTTCTAACAGCTGAGCTTTGAAGTGAATGCCTGGAGTGTCAGTGATGGGGACAAAAATGCTGCCTGCCTGCCATTCCAAAAAACAATGAATGTTGCTGGCCATCAAGCCATGAGCCAGGGCAGCCCACCTAAGAGTGTGCCCTGAGGGGAATTCAGGATGGGGAAAAAGCAGGACACTAAGCCTAGAGAGTTAAGATGCATACCGAAGAAATAATGTCCGTGAGCCCAGACTCTTACATCTTATCACACATAGAAAAGCATTAAAAACATTAACTTAAGATGTCTCTCTTTTGTGATTAACAGCAACCTTCTGAAGTTTGACTACATTTTTTTTTTCAGCCAAAACTCCTGTATATCCTGGTCCTCCCTTACTTCTTTGGAATAGTTCCTCAGAACTCTCTGAGAGACCGAATCCTGGGCTATGAGTCCTCAGGGGGGGGTCACTGAATAAAACAGAACTCTCAACTTTTAGGTTGTGTGTTGTTTTTGTTTTTGTTTTTCCAGTCAACAGGGGGTGGCAAATCAGAATTATGATGGGGAAGAAAAAAAACACAGATATCAACCAGATGTGAAATCAAGTAAAATGCAGCCTTTCCTGGTTGGCCAGGGTGAGAACATGTCCATCCAAGAGGGAAGGAAAGGGAGCCTGGGCAAGCCCCCTTGATGGCAGGAGGAAGGGAAAACAAAGGCTACTGAATAAACCAGACCCAAAGCAGGGCCTGGCCTGAGGCCAGGGGAAAGCTGGCATGCTCTAAGGGGAGCCAGGAAAAGGGTGGGACTCAGAGCCCCACCAGAAATGGGCTTCCAGACAAATCCAAATACAAGGCCGGCCCAGGCCCACTATGGGACTACATCCTAGCTTCGTTGCTGGCACTACTGCCCAATCATCTGTCAGCAAAAAATACTGGATCCTAGGGGAAGTGGATCATCCCAACATAAAAATTTGTTTGCTTATCTAGCAAATTATTTATAGAGAACCAGAAAGGATATGAAATAGCTTGTGTGAACTTTGAAGAGGCAGGTAAAGAGATAAGAGCCAAATGAAGTTGGAAGGGGACAGAATCTATTATTTGCATGTTTGGAAATTAAAGCCCAAGGAGGCTGTTGAATATAATGTTGAATCTAATGCTTGGCTCTGAACATTTTCAAGTTAATCTGCATAGTACATGGGCGGCGGGGGGTGGGGGGGCGGTCGGTTGAAAGAGTAACAATAGGCAGCATGTGAGGGATTAACTCCAAACAAATCCAAGTAATAATGAGAAGAATCCCCTTGATGTGGGTTGACCACACACATCTACACACGTGTAGGATCCTGACTCTTGGGCATCCCTGTTTGGCACTACTAGGTGTTCTTTGGAAGGCACATGATTTTTTCTTTTAATGCAAAATAATTTCTAAATTAGGAAAACATGCCTAATAGCCTTTGGGAGTTACTCATCATGAATGAATGAGGATTGTCTTGGGTTAAGTCCATCTTTCCTGTGACTGGTGAGACTTCTAACACTGCGGCATGAGGGAGCAGGTGATACGTTGCTTCAGGCACTGATGCTTAGGACCACTCAGGTGTCTAGTGGGACAAGTGACATCATTAGCGCTGAACTCAGGATCTAAACCCCCATTTTAATAAGGGCAAAAACAACTGCAACTGCAAGGTTGGGAGTCTCAGCTTGGAAGCATTTCCATCAGCTTCCTTCCTTAACCGTCTCCCTGGCTCAGCCTTTGCTGTGGCCGAGTGTATTCTGAATAATGAGCCGAGAACATTCTGTGACACTTTAATACAAAGACAGAGGGCCCACCCTTGGCTAAGCTCACATGCACTGGAGCAGAGGACAACCCGGCCAACGGGGAGCAGATGAGTACCTGCAAGCTGATGGAGTCCGACGCCAACGCCGCGTTCATGGCATTAAAACTGTCCAGGGCTGACGACTGGGTTTGGATGTGATTCTCCAGATAGTCCTGCTTTGCCTGTGAAACCTGGACAGATTGAGGAGACAGTTACACACAACCAAACCATACATGCTCACAAAAATCTTCAGCTAGGTCACAACTTTCTCCTGAGGGCAGACACATCGGGGTCAATGATACTTCAAGTACAGCTTTACATTACAAAGTCAACATCCACATGAACCAGAGAGCAGAAAGGCAAGACAACTTTTCCTCTGGATGATATTCACCCCTTCCCCAACAGGGCCTCACTTAGTTCTCACAACACTCTGCAGCCCCCAGAACATGCCTTTTTATAGGGAGGAAAGGGAAGGAGAGAAGTTAAGGGATTTGAATGCAAATGCATAGCTACCTTTACGACTAGAATCTAGTTGGATACCACTTTGTACCATCTTGCTTTCGTCTACTCGCCATAGAAGGAATATGCTCTGGACTCACCCAGTTCCTAGGAGTGGCTGCTGCTGCTGTTGTGTTGTCTTTATTGGATGTATATTTAATGTGTTTCAGAGAGTTTCATCAGAGCCCAGTCTTAAGCTAGACCTTAAAGAAGGGCTGGGTATATAGAAAGGCCAGGAGGCAATAGAACCAGAGGTAAGGTTCTGGGAGACTCAAGGGTCGATCCTGTGAGGCCTGTGGGAGCCATAGGAAGCAGTCAGGCATGAGACAGCGAGAGGTGTACCCTTGAGAGAGGGAAGAAATAGTAGGCCAGGGGCAGGAGGTGTGTTCCTGCTCAGGGCACATTCATGCAGCCAGTAAGTTAGGATATTTTTTTAAGATTTTTTTTGATGTGGATCATTTTAAAGTCTTTATTGAATTTGTTACAATATTGCTTTGTTTTATGTTTTGACCTTTGGCCTATGAGGTATGTGGTATCTTAGTTCCCCAACCAGGGATCAAACCCACATCTCCTGTATCGGAAGGTGAAGTCTTAACTACTGGACCACCAGGAAAGTCCCACGTTAGCATCTTAACCTGGCTACAGTCTGTGGTGTGACCCGGAGAAGGAGGAGACTGCAGGTAGAGATGGAGCTCCTGTGACAGTCTAGATGAGAAAACGAGGGTGTGCAGGACGTGGCAATGGAAAGCAAGGGGCAGAGACCTGCTTATGCATCTATTGCAAATCCAATCCTTTGGCTTTAATTACAGTCAGTGTCAGTGATAGCAGAGTGAATTTCCATTGGCAGGTGACAATTTCACAAATCTCTTCCTACATGTCAATGAGAATGACAAGCTGGATATGCCTGTATACTCACACCCCACATAATCAAGGTAGTAGGTCTTACTTAAGCAGATAATTTCACAGTCCAGACATAAACTAGACTCTAATACAAGAAAGCTGAGCACCGAAGAATTGATGCTTTTGAACTGTGGTGTTGGAGAAGACTCTTGACAGTCCCTTGGACTGCAAGGAGATCCAACTAGTTCATCCCAAAGGAGATCAGTCCTGGGTATTCATTGGAAGGACTGACGCTGAAACTGAAACTCCAATACTTTGGGCCAACTCATGCAAAGAGTTGACTCATTGGGAAAGACCCTGATGCTGGGAGGGATTGGGAGCAGGAGGAGAAGGGGACGACAGAGGATGAGATGGTTGGATGGCATCACCGACTCAATGGACATGAGTTTGAGTAAATTCCGGGAGTTGGTGATGGACAGGGAGGCCTGGCGTGCTGTGATTCATGGGGTCGCAAAGAGTTGGACACAATTGAGCGACTGAACTGAACTGTAAATACATGACTGTTGCAACTGTGCTCCTTTACTGCAGATATTAACTTTTATGGGAAGTATGTCATACAGAATAGACTTTTCCTTCAAGGTTATTAACCACAAGTATTCTTTTAAATGTTTTTCCCATAAAGCATTAGCTAGGTTAAACCAGGGGAAGCTTATTTTTTCTTTAATTTTGAGTAGGCAATATATTCCTAGAGTTCAAACATTTTAAAAGTAGAAAAGTCACTAAGTATTTCTAAATATTAGACACTAAATGAAATATTTTTTCACTCCTGTCCCATCTGCTCAGTTACCACTGTGTCCACTCTGCACCTCAAGCATGAACCACTGTTAATTACTTTCTTGATGATCTTCCCAGTAATTTTTTATACACACACAAAACAATCTAGATATATTTATTTTCTCCTCTTAGTTTACATAAACGGTAGTATACTATACATGACATTTTCCTGTGTCTTGCTTTTTCACCACTTACTCTATATCTTTGAAATTTTTCTGTATATTTTTGAAGAACTTATTCATTTTTATTTTTACACAACTCTGTGATTGTAGAGATGCAATATATTTTTTTATTTTCTCTTTCTTAATGGACTTGTAAGGTTTCCAATCTTTTTACTATTATAAACAATGTTTAACAACTAAGTCTATACATACATCATTTCACATACGTGAGAGTTTTTCTATAGAATAAATTCTTAGGAAGAGAACTGCTGAGTCAAAGGATGTAGGCATTTGTAATTTGGGTAGATATTCCAAACTGCTCTCCCTAAAAGTAATGCAAACCACATTCCAAGCAATAATCTGCCTGTTCTTCTATAGCACAGTTAGTACAGCATCTTGTTCCACTTTTGCAGTTTTGCCAGTCTGCTAGATAAAAACATCACAGGACCATTTTAATTTGAGTTTCTCTTATTGAGAATGAGGAATTTAAGATCTCTTCATCTGTCCTTTACTATAAATTATCTGTCACAAATATTTTGCCTATTTTTATGAGGTGTGGCCTTTTTCTTTTTGATTCATGGGCGCTTTTTAAGTACCCAGGATATTAGCCTACTAGTCGCTCAGTCATGTCTGACTCCTTGCGACCCCATGGACTGCAGCTCACGAGGCTCCTCAGTCCACAAGATTCCTCAGGCAAGAACAATGGAGTGGGCTGCCATTTCCTTCTCCAAGCCTACTACCTATAGTACAAAGGCAAAAAATTTTTCCCAGGTTGTCATTTGACTTTGGTATTTTTGCCAGCACTAGTCTTCATTTTAATGTAGTCAAAATTATCAACTCTTCCTTTAGTGATTTGGGAATTGCATCTCTTCATAAGACAATACCTTCCGCTCTCCAAGAGTACAAAACAATTCACATGTATTTTCTTCTGGCACTAAATTTAACAAAATCTACCCAGAATTTGTCCAGATATAAGTCTGTCCCAACAGCATATACTGACCGGTCTATTTTCCTCCCTTCATTTCATGTGCTACATTTATCATAGATTGGGTTACATTTCTGGGCTCTTTTTCATTAATGTCTATTTATTTATGTGCCAATACTGTGCTGTTTTCATCTTTGAGGCTTTCTCAATTTCTTATAATATTAAAAGGGCTAGTTTCCTTCATTGCCTTTTTCTCCCCCCAGAATTTTAATTCTTCATATTTATTTTCTGTACACCATGGAACCACCTAGTTCAGTTGTAAAAGAACAACATAAAATAAAAATCCTTTACTACTTTTACTGTGTTATATTAAATTTACATATCAACATGAATGGTATTAATGTCTTATGATGTTGAATCTTCCTTTCCAAGTACATGATATAAATGTCTTTCTACTTATTAAAATTTATTTCCACATATCTGGCAGTTTTTGTTGCTTTTATTTCCTCTAACTAGTTTTTTGCATATTGCAATCTATTTGTCCATGTCCATTAATATTTTACCCTAATACCTTACAGAATTCTTCTGTTTATAGCAATTTTTTCATTGGTTCACTTGAGTTTTCTGGGTATGTAGTCATACAGTTTGTAATCTTTGATAGTTTTTCATCTACCTGTCCAGTTTTTATACCTCTAAATCTCTTTCTCTTGCTAAATTCCATGGTTAGTCTCTCCAGTACAATGTCAAATAATAATAGTAGAGCTGGCTTCCTCATCGTGCTCTTGACTTTGGAGGGAATGCTTTAAAAGTGAAAATTTTTCTTGCCACAAAAATTTTCCTTCAAATAATAAACTTCATCCTGTGATACTATTCCCTCAATTCATGTAAAATATGATTCCAGAGACTTCCCTGGTGGTCCAGGGATTAGGAATCTGCCTTCCAGTGCAGGGGAGGTGGGTTCAATCCCTGGTCAGGAAACTAAGATTCCATGCGTTATGGAGCAACTATATGTGCTATGGGCTCTCAGACCTGGAGAGCCCACAAGCTGCACCAAAGACCGAGCACAGTCACGTTCCTATGAGTCCACTCACAGGAACATGATAAACTCAAGTACGTTCAGGCACTAGCAACCGAGAGGCAGTTCTAAGCGCTAGCATCCCTTCACATGTGCTACTTACTGACAGTTCCTGGGTGAGCTGTCGGATCTTCTGTCTCATTTCATCATAGTCTCCGTACATTTTCTTTCTTACTTTTTCCAAAGTGGCTCTCACCTGCGGCCCACAAAAATGCTGGTTAGAGATGAAGCTACAATATTTTCATGTGAGATTTCTAAAACATTTAAGAAACCCTAACGAGAGAAGGGCCTCACAAAAAAGTAATCTGAGGAACAGAACAATTTGGAATATTAAGAAAGACTATCACAAGGGAATTATCCAAATAATAGTGATAATAATAAATACACATTGTGGATTATATATAATTATTAATAGTATTAATTATCAAATAACATGCTCTAAAGAAAAAATAGTTTATTGAAATTTACCTACCACCCTAAAAATCATATTCAGGCAGGATTTCCCCTTTTCCTATCACATATTTTTATAAGTAGAAACTGTTTAACTGGTCAACTTCGTAAACACATGACTATTGTTGTTTTGTCGCTATGTCATGTCCAACCCTTTTGCAACCCCATGGACTGTAGCCTGCCAGGCTCCTCTGTCCATGGGATTCTCCATGCAAGAATACTGGAGTGGGTGTCCATTCCCTTCTCCAGGGAATCTTTCCAACCCAGGGATCAAATCCACGTCTCCTGCATCAGCAGGTGGATTCTTTACTACTGAGCCACCAGGGGTGCCAAAAAACATGACTAGGCAGACCAAAACAACAAACAAAAAAAAGGCACCTCTAATTTTCCCTATTGCTGTCCTGACTGCCAAAGAACAAATAAATGTTTGGAATGTAAGGAAGGAAATTATGAGCTTAGAGAGCCCATAAATGTGAAAGTCAGCTCCTCAATAATCACCAACACTACACAAGGCACTAAATATAAGAAAAGTCATGGTGATTCCCCCAAACACCTGTTTATACAAACTCTGTTTAAATTTCTCTGTAATACCACTTCCAGAGGAGTAATGGGGCCTTAAATATATTCTCAATAGAAACAAAACACCTAACAGATAGCCTCTTTATTCACTCTTCTTCTGGTGCTCCCTTGGTTGAATGAAGAACTCAAGGATTCTCATACAAAAAAAGCAGCCTCAAAGGAGCCCTCTCCAGAAGGCTCTGGAACTTCTATCACAGGAAAGGCTCAAAAGCAGCAGTTTGGTTAGAATGAGGGGTTAAGTAGGCCACAGCACATGGGGACTTAATTTTGAAACTATATTTATACAACTAGCACATTGCTTTAAACTATATGTTTATTAGGAATGACTGGATATTGGTGGAGATTTCAGGGCAGAAGAAAGCAAGTCACAACACCTTGCCCTTTCCAAATGAATTGTAATGATAGAATCTACTTTCTCACCATTGAATACAAACATTTTGGGGGAAATGAGGCCAAAAGCAACAACCTTTTCATTCTGGGCAGACAGAACGGCTTTCATCTGTGGGGCTGAGTTGGTTCTCAGCCTACTCACTGTTGAGGAGTGGGTGGAGTTGGATGTGACTCCCGTTGGCAAATACTGCCAGAGTCACCCACAAGTGAGGAAGGCACACAAATCCATAAACACACTCAGGAATGAGTAGCCTGGGATGGATCTGAAGCCAGCCACAGAAGGTGGGACCAATATTGCAGATCACAGTGGAGGTTGGCAATTCACGTCAGAAATTCCCATATGATTTGGACACCTGACAGCCTGAACCTACCATTTTGTCTTGGGCAATCTACAACTCACCAATCTGCTTAGCAGGTTTACTTCTGAAGTGGTGCCATGTTATTTGGGGCATCTCAGTGAGAAAGGCATAAGCATTTGCATGAGAAAAACAGGGGCAACCAAAAAGGTACAAGCTGTCCCTACATAGAAACATAGGAATGGGCTACTCTGAATGGTTAAAAATGATCTTCAGGGTTCGGATGACTGGGGCTCTGAGGCTGACAGTTGTGAGACAGGCTCTGCCCGCTTGTGTATGAGTATGGCTCACCTGGCTTTTCTTCATTTTCTCTGTTAAGAATTTATTATCTTTTTTATTCCTTAAAACTGTACAACTATCCAAATCTTTCAACACACATTAAGAAAGGTACATTTATTATTTTTTGATATTTGATAAGAAATGTTCTTCTCAAAAACTCAAAACAAAAGCTGACCACACGTGTTTGTGCCCTACTGGCAAACACAGCCAAATAAAACAGAGCTAGTTTTGACCTTAACAGTTCCTTCTCAGCCCCCATGATCTGTAAATGAGGAAACTGAAGCTCAGATAGGGCAAAAGTTTGGCTGGGTCAAAGAGCTGGACCTTGAACCAAGATCCAGGGGGACACCATTGCCCATGCTGCCCCTGCTTCTCACGAGTACTTTCTAGTCCACAGGCCAGTGTCTGAGACAGCTCATATCCTCTCTATCTAATCACTCCAGTTTGACAACAAAGGCACTATTCAATCTAGGGAGACACTGGGTAGACCAAGAAGGAATGGAGATGATGGATGGATAGAAGGAAGGAAGGAGGGAAGGAGGGAAGGAAGGAAGGAAGGAAGGAAAGAAAGATAGATGACAGATAGATAAAAAGAAAATAAAAGGTTACAAGGAAATACTCCAAAATGTTAACAACTATTCTGGTTGAATTGTAGAATTATGGGTGATTTTGTTTTCTTCTTCATACATCTTTATATTTTTCAAAAGTTCTCCAAAGAACGTACACTTTAAAAGAAATGTAATATTAATTACAAAGAAATGGTATTAATTGGCCTGGGTTGGACAATGTCTATTGTGGTTGACTTCCCAGCATCCGTTTCAACCCAATTGATTGGCCTGAAGCATCAAACCAATTCGCAAGGCCCATTCCCCTTGCCAGTGATGGATTTGGGAATGGGCATGTGACCTGGGTCCTCGCCAATGAGACAAAAGTGCAAGTCTGATGACAGGTCTCTAAAGGGTAACCAGAGATGATTGTCTCCTTTTCCTTCTCCAGACACCATCATATATTCAGATGATGCTGTGAGCCTGAGGCTGAAGGAGGAAAGAACCAAGAGAATCTCAGAAGTAGAACTGGTGCTTGGAGAGCCCTGCCTGGAGTGCACCTATCCCTAGACTTATCCCCACATGAGAAAAATTTCCTTTTAGAGTTGCCTTTTCTGCTACCTGTAGCCAAAAGCATCCAAATTTATACAACTGTCCAAACTCTTATATTAGGAGTGTCCAATATAATAAGCAAAACTACCTAAGAGCCTCCTTACCATACATGGAAGAGCTATTTGGTCTACTGAGCCTCCTTACTTGATAACATATAGAACTTCATTCTATACCTCACTGCAAAATTACATGTGTGCTTCCCTGGTGGCTCAGATGGTGAAGAATCTGCCTGCAATGCGGGAGACCTGGGTTTGATCCCTGGTCGGGAAGTTCCCGACCTGGAGAAGGAAATGGCAACCCACTCTCGTATTCTTGCCTGGGAAATCTCATGAACAGAAGAGCCTGGAAGGCTACAATCCATGGGGTAGCAAAGAGTCGGACACAACTGAGTGACTAACACTTTTCACATTACCATGAAGATCTGTAGTGGTTTTTACATCCAAAATGACAATGTTTAGAATTATTTCAAAATGACTTATTATGTTCATATCAGAGCTTCCAACTCAACCCTCTTACATGCTACGACAAGACTATAAAACAGAAAACAAAATCCTTAAACTACTCACGTCTTTGATGTAGTTCATCTCTTCTTTCAGCTGACTGGTGGTCCACCCATACACCACCATTTCTTTCTGCTGGTTTTGATCTGATCTTCGCACCACACCATAGACAACACCCTGAGGAAGTTTCCTGGTTGCTTCTCCATTGCTCAGGTCACGATGCTGAAAGAGGGGAGGAAAAGAGAAGAGAATGATGACTCTTTAGGCTTTGCAGAGGCAACTGTCATCATGGGCCCACTGAACATGGTCATGCAGGTTGTGCCCAGCACTGAGATGTCTGGCAATGGGAGAGAGGCATCATTGCCAGTAGAAATCCAACCTGGTCTCTACTCACCAAGTCATAACTGGCCTGTGCCTATCTTTCCCCTGGAAGACCAGCACCTTGCCCTAATTTCCACCAAAGCTCTGTCCCTTTATCAAGCAGCACCTCTACAGGAACCCATCTTCCCAGAGAAGGTGCCTTTTTGATAAAGGCGCCTTCTGAGAAAGGTGCCTAATGGACTTACGCCATCCCTGATAGCAAGAGTGAGTGTCTGAAATCTCACATTCTTGGTAAAGCTGTTTTTATGCTGGTTTCTCTGTCTGACTTCATCGTCATCACTAACTGTGTGGCCTGAAATGCAGGAGGTTGAGATATGTGGGGGGGAAGAATGCTGACAGCCATCTGGCAGCCAGATTGTCCTCTGACGTTAGAGCTGACCCTGGAGCCAGTTCTGAGGAAGGGAGGTGGGGTCCCCTGTTGTGATTATTCATGAAATACTTCTGAAAAGTCAGGCAGAGGCAGCATGACATCACTCCAAAAGAATGCTCTGCTCCTTGGCTCTCTCAGTTAAAACTCCCATCATTGCTGAAGTGCAAATACATTTGGGAAGGGGGAGACGTGGCCAAGAGAAACTAAGATTTATTGAGCACCTTCTCTAAGCTAGACATGTTCCTCACACATTTAATCTCCACAGCCACACCACAACACAATGACTGTCCTTTCCACTTTATAGCAGAGAGAACTTAAGTTCAGAGAGGTCAAGTCTCGTCTCTTGTTCATGGTCACACACCTAGGTTCAAGCCCAGTTCTGTCTGATACTAAGGACACCTCCCCATAGGCTTTGTTGGATGTAGAAGGACAGAGTAGGCCATCACAACATGGAAGAGATGGGACAAGAACAACTTAAGGACGAGGGACTGAGACGGCAGAGAAAAACCAGCCTACAACTAATCTTCCTTGGGGCTGACAATGTCACAGGACAGAAGGCTGAGTTTCATAACGGTAACTTTGCTCTTGCACTAATTTTTAAACCACCTTTGCATAAATTCTTTCTATGCACTTGCAAAACATCTTTGACATATAAAACTACATTGTGCATGTTAAAATCATTCATTTGTGGCAGAATAGTAAGTCCTTTATGATTCCACCTTTGGTCCAATCAAAGCTTGTAAATGTTACCAAATTATTAATCATTAATGATCCCTAAGCTGGGGCTTCCCTGGTGGCTCAGACGTTAAAGTGTCTGCCTGCAACGCGGGAGACCTGGGTTCGATCCCTGGGTCAGGAAGATCCTCTGGAGAAGGAAATGGCAACCCACTCCAGTACTCTTGCCTGGAAAACTCCATGGATGGAGGAGCCTGGTAAGCTACAGTCCATGGGGTCACAAAGAGTTGGACACGACTGAGCAACTTCACTGGTACTGGTAATGACCTCTAAGGAGGGGGTGGTGGGGAGGAGCAGGGATGCTGAAGGTCAGAATGAAATTTGATTTTTTTTCTTTATAACTTCATGTATCATTCGCTTACAATGTGACCTTTTGAAAAATAATTAATAAGAAGGGCTTCCCTGGTGGTCCAGTGGTTAAGAATTCGTCTGCCAATGCAAGCGACACAGGTTTGATCCCTGGTCCCGGAAGATTCTACATGCCATGGAGTAACTAAGCCTATGCCCCACAACTACTGAGCCCATGTGCTGCAACTACCGAAGCCCACACAGCTAGAACCTGTGTTCCACAACAAGAGAAGCCATCTCAGTGAGAAGCCCACACACCGCAATAAAGACTAGCCCTGGCTTGCTGCAACTAGAAAAAGCCCACGTGCAACAATGAAGACTCAGCACAGGCAAAAGTTTAAAATTAATCTTAAAAAATAACAAAACATCCATTGCTTCCCACTCTTCTGTACAAACTTGTTAAGAGATAAAATATGAGGGGTGGGACACTTGCATTGCTTCTGGAAAATGCTTTCACTAGAGCTCCGCATACCTGGCTCCCACAGGCACTGAGGCAACTCTTAATGTTGATACCTAAGTTTAGGTGAGTAGGGGGTTAAATGGCTCACTCTCAGAGGAGTGAGAAGCTCAGATTAGATATCCCAGTGTTACTACATGTATAATCAGGAAGAGGAAAAGCTCTAATGAAACTCCCACGTACCAGGAAACAAAAGCAAGATCTTTCAGTCACCAGCTCCACCCAGTTCCTGAAAAACAAGCTGATGCTGGCCTAAGGCTTTGGGAAAACTTGTTTCTGAAAAGCAAAGGTTTTCACAGGTGGACTGGCCTACAGGAAAACGCTCAGGTGACCAGATCAAGAGAGTTTGTCTCCCTGCCCATGAGGGGAGATGGGGACCACCACAGATGGAGGTATATACAGACCAGCCAGGGACAACATGGTCTGTGAAACACATCCCGAGAGGTTGTGGATCTGAAAGCTACACAAATGGAAAGATATCAAAGACTTGTTAAGTAAAAAATAGTACATTTCATATTTCTATTTTTTGTTTTGCAAGTGCATGTTTGAGTGAGTAAAACATCTAGAAAGTTGGACTACACATCTTCAATAATACTTTTTCAAAAAATTACAACTAAAAAAGTATTACAAAGTCAGGATCTAAATGAGAGACCCACAGGGAAGGGCCCAACACAGGAGCAGGGCCGTCAGCATGGGCCACCCCAGAGGGAGAGGACTCCTGAGGAGCTGCTGGGCTGTGATGGGGAGGGGGAAGGGGTGTTTACAAAGAAAGAAAATATTTTTTGGCTAGCCATTTTACTATACAATGTTTTCTTTAATCCCCACATTAACCCTACTGTGTATATATTACTATTTCTTCCAAGGTGGCAGTATTCAAGTGCCTGTTTGTGTTTCCAAATCTAGACTCTTTCCTTAACCACAAAGCCTTCAGGATAGCTTGTGTGTTAATCACTCAGTCATGTCCAACTCTTTGCGACCCCATGGTCTGTAGCCCATTGGGCTCCTCTGTCCGTGGGATTCTCCAGGCAAGAATACTGGCGTGGGTAGCCATTTCCTCCTCCAGGGGATCTTCCTGATCCAGGGATCAAAGCTGGCTCTCCTGCACTGCAGGCAGATTCCTACCATCTGAGCCACCAAAACCCTCAGGATAACTTAGAGGTGAGGAAGTTAGAGCTCACAGCTTCATGTGGCCCCAGACCTCAGGGTTATGGGAGCCAAGAGGGAGACTCTCAGATCCAGGGCCACTGGGAGGAGGCGAGCCCGGGATGGGAGGCTCCTCTCCAGCCTCCCAGGATCCATCTCCCTACAGTCCCCCACTTCATTCCAGCCTCAGGGCCTCTTTTCTGTTCCTTTGTCAGCCAACCTCCTTCGTGTCTCAGGCATTTACACAGCCTGTTCCCTCTCACTGCAGAGCCACCGCTGGGCTGAAATGTTCTTCTTTCAAGGTCATCTTCACCAGCTCTTCAGACAGTCAGGCCTCTACAACACTTACCACAACCATGATGGAGTGACTGTCAGCATCACGAGATGCGTAAGGCCCGTTTCCCTACCAAATCAAAGTTCTAAGAAGCCTAGGGTCTTATCTGAACTCTTTTTCACCATAATCCCCAGCATCTAACAGTGATGGACACTTAATGAGTTCTCAATAAATACTTGCTGAACGAATAAGGAGCTTTGAAAGTTGGAAGAGGTTCTGGGGAATTACCCAGAGTATGTAAAGTTGGTCCCCTGAAGAGAAATCCTTTGTTCCTCTAAGATGAAGCCACAGGGTGGGGGTAGGGGGTGATATTTGCCCCAAGCATAAAATCTATATCCAGAAAAAGCTGTAAAGTAGCTGCGACTTCTATTACTTTTACAAAACGTCAGCATGGTTTTGGTCAAAAACTGGAAAACCCAGAAAAAAAAAAGTAAAAAGATTTGACATGTTTGGCACTGTGTTTATAGCTAAATTTTTCTCCTCCCATGTCCTTTAAAATAATCTCCCCATAAGATAAATATTAATTTTTAGGCATGATAACAGCATTGTGATTATATTAAGAGATAATCTTTATCTCTCAGAGAAATATACTTAAACTATTTATGACATCTGGGACACAGGGTGGAGGAAGTGGACGGCGGTGGAGATAGGGCGAGACTGACCACGGATTGAGGGGTGTCAGCTGGGTGAAGGCTCCAATATTCATTACACAATTCAGTCTCCTTTTGTTTATGTTTGAAATTCTCCATAATTAAAAGCTTTTTCAACTTCTTTACAATGCTGCTCGGTATTAAAAAAAAATCAAATTTTAAAAAATGTACACTGAGCCTACTAAAAGCTTCCTGGACATAAAACAACTGCAGATAAAATTGCCATGAAAACAAAAGCCCTAATAAAGGCACAGAATGAAAAAGTTTTTTGCCAAAGAAGGGGAAAGGACATAATCAACTGAAAGAGCATCCCAAGTCCCTCTGTGCAAAGCAACAGAATTCATGACAGGCATCATCAGTAAACTATACAGAGACTCTCTCAATGAAACTGTTCCCTGGGATGTTTGCGTTTACAGGCTCATGCTATGGCTGTTTTCCCTAAAGACATTTGGCAGCAAGTGCCTTAGAAAAGAAAAATGATAGAAAAGTAACTCAGCCTAAACTCCGGCTGTAGAGGTTTTATTGCTATTGGAAAGCAGGGGTATAAATTCAGTGATAGATGACCATATTTTCTAAACCCTAACTCAGAATATAAGATCTTACAATGAGATCACCTCTACAGAGGTTATCTACAGAGACCGTGGCTCTATCTGTTGTAGTCACTGCTAGATCCTCAGTGCTCAGCATAAATAGATGCTCAATAAGTACAGTTCGAAGGCAAGAAGAAAGAGAAAACAGTTGGAACTGTGCCTGTGCCAGAATATTTGGAGTATGTGGCCATCCAAGACACTGACTCTACAAAAG